TCAAATCTCAACCAAATATTATATAGATTTCCTAACAACCAAACCAAACGGCCCCTAGTTAGTAATTTCAAATACATAGTATTACTTTCTGAAACGAAAAAAAGATATTGATGCCATTTGTGATTCGGGCTTAATGAACCATTATACTCTACCCGACGGGAAATCGGGTTTTTGGGAGAGCCGCTTAACAATGGCGGATTTACTTCTCTCCTTTCACTTGTCGGACCACTACCCAATAATAAATCCCTCCTCAAACATTCAACTCAAACCCTAACCCTAATTGTGAAAAAATCAACTCACAAATTATAGTTCATAGATCAACGAGATGGAAACTCACATGGCTCACCATCTGTTTGAGAGACGCCCCATATACAAGTCCAAAGCTCCTGCTGCCAAATGGTTCAAAGAATGGTAAGGAAACAAAAGTTTAAAATAAATCTCAATTTCGCAATTAATCACTTGTTCAATTATACTTTTAATTTGTATCTGTTAAAAATTCTAGCTCCTTTGTTGTACCATATCTAGCCGGTCCTTGCCTGCACAAGCAATAATAACTACGAATTGAATTCGGTTTTTGTTTTTTTCTTTCTAATTATAATTAGATGTTATAAATTCATCTTGTATCTAATTGGGTTTGATTTCAGTCTGGTGGTGCATTAATGGAGGAAATAGTTATAAGTAGCTTTGTAATTATCCAAGGATATATCAAATCAGTCAATCAACTAAGCCTCAATCTCAAATTCGTCTTTTTTGTTTTGTTTGAGAAGGTAACATAAATCTCAAATTCGTCTTTGTGGTGATTGGTGAATAGAAAGATCATGTGATTCAGTATTCACTATGAATCAGTTATTTTGTTACCTTGAATTTGCAACTTCTTTGCTTGGAACTATTCGTTAGAGGGTAAGGACCTACAATTCATACATTAAAAGCTGCAATAGAGACCACAGGACAAATTGGTTTCTTTTGCTCCAAGCAAACTTGTCAGTTCACAATCATGTCAGGGAGGACTGGAGAAAGACTACAAATTATAAACTAGAAAATCACCTTGGATTATGCTTCGTATATTGCTAACATTCTATAACTTGCATGAACTTTTAGTAGTTCAGGCACGTGTTTGATTTCATTTAACCTGCGCTTTAATTATCTCAGAGGATCAGTCATTAGTCACTGAGTTGAGTGAGAAGAGTGTTTTTTTAGCCATGTGATTTATTGTAGTTCATACTGTGTTTTAATTCCGTTACTATTATCATTTTTTCCCAGGGTCCCGCAAGATGTTGTAGCAACTGGTGGGAAGTGCTACCTCTTAAAGTGGGTGAATGGTTAGTTCAATTCTGAAAGCTCCTATACATCTTTCTTATAGTTTTATGTTGGCTCGTTTTATATTCTTTATTTTTCTGGATCTTTGCAGGATTTTTAACTGCTTTTTTTCGTCATATGCTGTGCCTTTTAGGTGGTACTTTGAGTTTGAGCTTATATTTCTCCCTGTCTACTTTGTTTATTAGAGGCCACATTGAAAGCTCTGAAGGAGAAGCCCAAAGAGCCAGAGGTACCCGTGCCAGAGCCGGAGCCAACTACTGAAGTTCTTTTCCTTTGTAGCTATGACGGTTGTGGAAAGACATTTATTGATGCCGGGGCCTTGAGGAAGCATTCTCACATCCACGGGGAGAGGCAGTATGTATGTCATTATGAGGGTTGTGGAAAGGTAAGAGTTTATTATCTTTGCATTAAGACCAGAGGCGGAGCTAGCGTACGTTTTACGGGTTCGGTTGAACCCAGTAACTTTGGTCCGAACTATGTATTTCTCTTAAGAAATCCATTGTATATGTATTAATTATTAACTTAGAACCCAGTAACTTAAACGAACTACAATCCCGAACCCATAAGCTTCAAATCCTGATTCCGCCTCTGATTAAGACTGCACTATATGCTATAGAACTTCAGGATGAGCTCCGTCATTTCATTTTATGAACTTTTTTTTTCCTCGTTTTCTTTTTTTTCTTCGTTTTTTTTTTGCGCAAAGGGCATCTCTGGTAGGGTTGAGTGGGGGAAAGAGATGGAACATGGAACTCGTTCCTTGTCGCAACTATATTACCGTTTTTTATGTACTGTTCCTTTTAGAAGTCCGTAGTTCATATGGGGACTCTGCTTCTCGATGGATACCATAGGTTCTCCTTGAACTCATAAGATATTTTTGTAATGAATTGGTTGGCAGAGGAGTTTATTGAAGTTGTATTATAGGAGTGTTTTTCATTTATAGTTGAACGTTCTTCAACCATTTTGAGTCTCAGATTCAGTGTGTGCTAATCATGGGAAGATTGGATTTGTAGTTTGTCATACTGTTTAAGATCAACTTAATCTTCTGTCTTGAGGAGAAAAAAAAATCCATCTTATTTTCATGATACGCAAGTTCACGCATATGGTTCCTTTATTTATTTCTTGTGTTTTTTTTTCCTCCTGTGAGTCCATTTGGGCTAGTTGTTCAGGTCTTCAATTGTGTCCTCGTCTTCTTTTTGCAGAAATTTTTGGATAGTTCCAAGCTAAAACGGCATTTTCTTATTCACACCGGGGAAAGAGACTATGTATGTCCGCATGAAGGCTGTGGCAAGGTAATATATCAGCAGTTCAAATAGTTCTTCATGTTTATATTTTCCTTTACCCTATCCAGAGTCTCTCCCTCTTACCTACCAAAAGAAATAAACAAAGAAATAAAAGTGATGAGACGCGAAAAAGTGCGCCAGCTGGCCCTCAGGGATTTCTTTCTGTTACTGTAGGAATTCTATGTTGTTTCTTGTTTCTTTCGTGATGTGTGTCCAGGAACAGAGACATGCTTGCATGTACACTACTATTGTTTTATGATAGCTTGTGCTATTTATTGTGCTTCGATTTTACCGATTTCCTTTGAAACCAATGCAGGCATTCTCACTGGACTTTAACTTAAGATCACACATGAAAACACACTCCCAGGAGAACTATCATATATGCCCGTATCCAGAATGTGGAAAGCGATATGCACATGAGTACAAGCTTAAAAATCATATTGCGTCTAGTCACCAGAAGGTTTGCAGTTTCTTTACCGCCCTTGTTTTGACCATGAAATACTAATACGGACTTTATAATTTCTCAATTTTGTGCTCTTTGATCACAAACAAGTTGACATGTGTCCTAAATGCATCATCAATAACCACTGCCTGTTCTGTCCCAACTATTTTGGATTCTTAACATTTTTGGGTCAATTCCTCTCCGTAAACCAGTCTGTATTTTGGGTAATGTACGCAAATAAAGTAACTTATTTCGCATGCACAAGTAATACTCTTTGAATATATGTTTCTTTTAAGATTTTCTTTGTTCATAATTTGCAATGCTTTGCCCGGGAGGGGGGAGGGGGGAGGAACTTTTGGTCCTTGTTCGTATTTTCATATGTTTCAGATTAACCACCACCCCTCCCTGCCCCATGTTCAACTGTCATTTCCTCGTCAAACATCTTTAAAGGGAAAATACTCTTCTCAATGTGTAATCTTTTCCTTAATATGAACGTGTAGATGGAACTTTGGTGTCCTGTCAATGGTTGGCTTTATGGCACTTAAGCATGCTGACCGTAACAGAAGTTGGCGTCATAATCAGGCCTTGTCAGAAAAGACAGTAATTCTGCAGGAATTTATGTCATGTATCCTCTCGTGCATCACTAAGTAGAACCCAATTTGAAGTTTGACTTTAATGTTGTCAGTTTCTTCTAATGATTTGGTAGATGTTTAAGCTAATATTTTCCTAAAGAAATGCCAATGTGATGCACTTCTCTTTGCATCTTCTAAAGTAGCACTTGAAGCAGGATTTGACTATCGATTTTAAATCTTTTCATTTTGTAGAACTCTACACCAGATGCTCCAAAGTATACCCCACCTGTGGAGAAGCCAATGAAAACACCGAAATCTTCTTCAGCAGCTTATGCCTCATCATCATCTGACCGCCCTTATAGCTGTCCGTACGAAGGGTGTGACAAATCTTACATTCATGAATACAAGCTTAATCTTCATTTAAGGAACATGCACCCTGGTCATTTTCCAGAGGATAATGCCAAAAATGCTCAATCTACTGCTGACAATGAGATGGATGAAGGCAGTGATCAGGACGCATATGCTGCAAAACGTGGAAACGGCAAAATTCAGAAACAGAGCAGGCCAAAGCCAAGCTTGAAGCAGCCACCAATAAAAGTTGCACGCAAAAGCTCTAGTGCTTCTCCAGCCAATATAAGTATAGCAGCGAAGAAGCCCTGGCCGGTCAAAGAAGAGAACTACAATGAAGAAGATAGTGAAGAAACAGAAGAGGAGCGGGATGATGTTGGGGATGGATGGAGGTACGGTGAAAACGATGACGACGACGAAGAGACTGAAGAAGATGAGTAGAGGCTCATTTATAGGTACTTCTGGGATAAATGGTTATCACCGTCTAGAAAATGGGATGAGACCTTGTTATTACTGTACAATCCCTTTTGAGTTTTATGAAGTACGAGGTTTCGGTATTTCCCACACCCCACTCTCTCTAATCCTCCCTCAACATAGTACATACCATGGAACTTGGAGCTTTGTGTTATTGTGCAAGCTTCTTATTCATTCAGTTATTTCATAAATCGAATTATCCTATTTTATTACGTACAAATTTGACTATATCGAGGACTTGAAATCCATAAATTGTCATACAGTACTTCTAATAATACGGACTCTTAAATTAAAAGAAATTCAATGTACATTTGAAGATGGTCAAAATGTAGTTTAGACATTATCAATGAAAGTTGCACCTAATGTCAGTTTAGAAATAATAGTTAGAAAAGTCGTCATAAATACACATTACAATAGCTGTAAATGCTGTGTACTAATTTGGCTACCAGTACACGCAAATAGTGAAAGTTGATAAAAAATTTGTTGAAAAAATTAATATTTGAAAAATGGGTCAGATGAAATAATGATATTTAGTTTTTTTTTTTAATAAACAAATAGAAATTTATATGCAAACAGACTTTAGAGCTATCAATTACTTTTCCTAGTCGACAGTCGTAAAGTAGTTCTCTCCGACCGGGAGACCTTCACTGTTTCACACTTTCAGTGACAATATTAGACCCCTTTGCTTCCCTCTTCTCCGTCACTTTACACCACAAAAAGAGGATTTCGTGCAAGAAAAAACTAAGTGGAATTTGCGCAAAAGGGTTTGATTTCATTGAAATCATTTCAAACACCACCTTCGGGCAGGTATAAATCCACTGTAGAATCTCTGTTCTTTCTATTTTCACTGCTCTGTTACTTTGATTGCTAGGATTCTTGATGACCCTTTTCGAATTTTTGATAAAAAGCTTAGGTTTCAACAAGAATGAATAAAGGAGGGGCTGGTGGTGGAAGTGGTGGAGGGGGCGGACCAACTGCCGCGGCGGCAGCGGCCGCAGCTCAAAAGCAGAAGAGCTTGCTTCAGAGAGTCGATGCTGATATTGGCAATATTGTTGACAATTTTAGCTTCCTTGTTAACGTTGCACGGGTATATATATCTCCATTTCCTTCACCTTTTCCCTTTTCACTTGTATGCACACTGAAAAACAGATCCAAGATTTTTAAATCAGTGGGCACAAAATACAGATAGCCCATTAAATAGTTCTGAGTGTAAGGCCAAAAAGCTGCACCGTCACTGTATACTCATGATTTATAATTAGGTTGGAGCTCCGTTAGGGACGGAGCTAGCATGCCAGTTACGGGTTCGACTCTTTAGCCTAACCCTGTATTTGTTTTTAAAAAATCCATTAAAAATGTACAAATTATTAATTCAAAACGCAATAACTTGAAAAGACTAGAATTCTGAATCTATTAGCTTCAAATCCGGGCTCTGCCTCTGGTCGAGGGCAAACATGAGACTTTTTCCTAGCGGAGGGTAATATTGGACCAAAAGTTTAGTGGAGGACAAATCTGCACCATTTCGGATACTACACTAGCAAATTCGATCCTTTTCCCTTCTTATATTTACGTCCTTACGGAATCTTAAACAGATGCTCGCAAAACCACATAGATCTTTAGAATTTGTTCGGTTTTTATCATATATTAACTTACTTCTTCAGAGCACTTTGTCGACAATTAATGGATTAAACTTCGAGATGGCATGAATTGGAAAAAGGAAAGAAGTGTGCATTTCTTTTTTTTTTTTCTTTTTTGTCTTGAACACTTATTTTGCTGGCCATTTGTTCCATTTCAGCTCCAAAGGCCGTTATGTTTGATTCAAACTGCTAAAGTGAAACTAGGAGATAGTATACTTGTTTATCTTCTTGCAGATGGTTGATATATTTGTTTCCACTTGATGACAACTGCTTATAACAGGTGAATGATCCACCGGTCAGAAATTCACAAGAAGCATTTATGATGGAGATGCGTGCATCTCGAATGGTGAGGATTTTTTTGTTCTTAGTTGTACATAGCTCTGATGTTCAATGAGATGTACAACTCAAATTACATGTGAATGTGCATACGAAAAGAAAACATTTTGTATTAGCAAATTGACAATATTCATTGCAGGAAAAGTGGCCTACTGACCTGAATTTACATATTGCAAGACTTTATCTTTTATGTTTTGGTGCTCTTTTATTGAAATATGGCTGAACATTGGAAACAAAGGCCATCACAATGCTAAAATGATTTCTGTGATTTATGGTGTTTTACTCATTATCCACTTCTTGTTATACCGCAGATACTTAGAGTTCTCAAACTGGCAAAGAACCCAAGTCTTTGTCTTTTTAAACGGGAACTCCAGTTCGAGTAAAGAATATAGGTTACAGTCTCTCTGTCTCTTCTTGTACTTCAGTGCATTTTTGTGAGTGCTAGTCAGCTATCATCCGTTAATAGCTTGTTATCCTCTGTGTTTCTGCAATAAGTAAGACTTGATGTGGTCTTATCCTTTGTTGAGTTGATGCAGAGACCAAATTCACCAGCTATTGAATTATGCTTGAATCTCAGCTTTCAAACACAGTATTCTCCTGTTGTTATATGTCTTTTTTCTGATTTTGTAGAACTTACCTATTCACTTCCCTTGGTATCTCATATAATGGTATTGGATGCATGAACAACAGGTCCAAGCAGCTGACACACTGCTTAAGTTGGTGTCAGAGTTGAAGCAAACAGCTATATTTTCAGGATTTGCATCTCTAAATGATCATGTGGAGCAGAGAACAGAAGAATTTACTGAACAGGCTGAGAAAACAGAATGCATGTTATCTAGAATTGGAGAGGAAGCAGCTGGTAGCCTTAAGGAGCTTGAGTCACATTATTATTCTTCTGCAGAAAGAACCAGTAGTCTGCCTTCTTACAGCCAAGAAACAATGCCCTGAACATGGCTCTACCAACATTGTTTCTTTCCCTTTGTTTTGCCCTTTCTCTATTCCCGCTCCCAATTTAAATTTATCGGCTGGGGATAATGTGGCAAGAACTTCAGCTGTTGGCCCAAGTATATTTGTCTTCCTTGAAGGTGTACTTACCATGAGGTTATTTAATTAATGATGAGAAATCCAGTTTGTTTCCAACTTACTATTACTCCAAAGCCTTTTACAAATGAGACGGACCAATTATAGTGGAGAATACTGCATAGTTAAACTTTTACTGCTACTCTTTTACCAAATATAGTGGAGAGAGCATACTTCAATTCTTTTGTTGCTACTTCTTTACATGTTTTGCGTGGACTTCTACATATCGCAAATCCAAACATAGGTGTACAATGTAGCCAATAACTAGTTGAAATCAAACCATTTACTTATTTGGCAACAAGTGTCAAATTCTTTTTGCCCTGAATAGCAAACGGGATAACTCGTCACTTCAAAGAAAATTATTACCATTTAAACTGCAGGAAATTTGTATCAGTGTTGCACTTCCGTTCTGGTAATTATGTTATGCAAATATATTTCATAGGTCAGAGTCATCAGACTCCCAAAATTGATCGCTCTTGGGCTCAATTGATTACATGGTACCTTCACTTGATGATTATCTTTTAGCAATTAAAGTAAAAGAACAGACAAGATGACAGACAAATAAACCACAAAAGAGTGTCCGATTTCCAATTAGTAAATCGATATTCTTTTACAAAACTGTAAGGACACTACAACTGAAGAGTTTCTACCTAGTCTTAAAAACTTAAAATTAACTGCAGGTACACAACTTAAAATTATCATTTCGGTAGGGAGGAAACAGGTTCTCCATGTCAACTAGACATCTTCATATGCCGGGCAATTTAATGGGACTTTACGTACTCCTGGACAATATGCAGACCCTCAGTCTCTTCCCCATAATCCTGCAAAATGATCAGAAGATTAACTATGATCAGGTTCTATTTATATTTCAGCATTTTTATGACAGAAATCCAGCCCAAGTCATTTTTCATTTAAGATATAAAGCCGAACTATATACATGCTAGAAAAAAATTATATGATGCTTAGTAGCTCATGGATATACCTTCACAACAACACACCCGCAGCCGACAACTTTCCTTGCTTTCCCTTCAGAGTCGATCTTACACAACTGTAAAATGAGCCCAAATAAGAATTAGAAAAGGATAGAACGTTCATACTCCAACGATTCATGTCGCATGAAATGCACATCAAGAGAAGTCAGAAGCTAATATTTTATCACCGCTCTAAGCAACCAACTCCTATGAAAACAACAATCAATAGGTCTAGTTCTTTATAACCAAGACTTATCCAAGTGCTAGTGGCACACGATTCGAAGCTCAGTGGTTAATGGGCCCACTTCTCAATCCTTCTCCACCTAAATAACAAGCTTTTGTCTGCAATACGGTACAAACCCATGTCGTGCGCCAAACACACATTTCACGAGCTGCGCTCTTACTACTGGACAATCAACAAGTCTACTCTTAAGGAGCACTTCTTTTTTCTTAAGGAGCAACTTCTTAACAATAGACATTCCAGTTCATTTTCGAAATCAGAAGGCAACTGTGGTAGACAGTAACGCTGAGAGAGCCTTAGAGCTAAAAAGTAGCAAGGGGCAAACAAAGTAAACTTACACCAGCCCATTCGCCAAGAGTTTTTGCATTCGGCGCCGTAATCAAGCTGACATTGTGATCAGCACAGAGTGCTTTGACCAATTTGACATAATCTGGCTGGTCGCAGTCCTCTGCTAACACACAAAGCTGTGCTGCATGCTTCTCAATCACCTTTGCACCTTCATGTAGTCCCCGAGCTAGGCCTCCATGAGCCTTAGACTTTCTCAGCACCAGCTGCAAAGCAGTCATGATGTCCATGGGCTCTCCAAGTGCTGGAGCAGGAGTCTCGGCAGCAGCAACTGCAACATCCTCGCTACAATTGAAGGGAATATTAAGTAGAGAACCTTATGGATAAGTTAAAGGAAGCGAAAAACTAAAAGAGCAAAATTGATTAAGCAACTAATAACTTTCCAATGTGGCATGAATAATGGAAGAAAAGCAAAAAACCAATGTCCAGTTTCTGCGAAGGCAAACTGGAAGGGATATTATCCCTAACCATTAAGTGCTACATTACATGAAACTTTGGAGACAGTTTAACTTAGAATACCAAGTCCAATGTAAGGTTTGCCAGGGAACAAAGATACCTCCCTTGACTTGAAGTTTCAGAACATAAGCTGATTCTCAAAATTTATGACTAAACTAAAATATTAACATGACATATAACAATGTCTGATACCAGCTGAGAACAGAAGTGGATCCAGGATTTAAGTTTTATGGGTTCAATCTTTAAGACTTTTAGCATTGAACCCATTATATTTTTAAAGTTATGGGTTCTTATTTACTATTTGTTGTAATTTCAGGGGGGGGTCAGCTGGTACCGGTACTCTACATCGGCCTCTGGCTGAGAACTATTTTTTTAATTGTTAGTCGAGAACTGTTATCTATGGCTCATTGTAAATCTTTGGAAACAAGGAAAGGAATGCCAGTCCATATAAACCAAAGCCTTCGTGGCGAGTCTTTCTACTTGCTGTTTAAGTTTTACATCTACTTAATAAAAAGATGGAGGGAGATCTCATGATATTCATGTTAAATAAAGATAGGAGCTGATAAAGAGATGCTATGGAAGGATGAAGATGAGGGAGGAGAGCAAAGGAGAATGGAAGAAGAATTTCCCGGAGAGCTGATGACCATCTCAAGTCATTATCAAGAATTGAATCTTGATAGGTTCCCTAAAACTATAGATTCTCCAAACTTATCCGACACTGACATACAAATTGCAAACCAACCCAAAAAGACTCCAAGCAAACACAGGACCTAATTTAAGCAACAAAAACATACCCAATATTATCCCACACCGTGGGGTCTGGGGAGGGTAGTGTGTACGCAGACCTTACCCCTACCTTGTGGATAGGGAGGATGTTTCCAATAGATTCGACCTAATTTAAGCGTAAAAGAATAATTCAAATAGCACTCTGAAGCACTATCTACTACACATACAAAAATAATTGCACACTAAGTTGCAAAAACTACTCGTAAAGCGGATCAAATACTTAAATCAAGTTGTGCACTTCTGAGTTTTCACTTGTGTCTACATCATTACCAACAGAAATGACATCGACAGGAACATTTATTTATAATCAAGTAAACTAGAATTTGACAATAAAATTAAGGGAATTCATAAAATTCCACTTACACTGACATTTTTCGAGCAATATGGTATACCAAAAGATCTGCTACCTGTTCCTCTCAAAGTAAAACACGTAACTTAGTCAGGTAAATAGAATCAATAATAGACTCCATAAACCCTCATCCCAAATATACCGTGCATATCCTGATCCAACATTTGAGTGCCAAATACTACTAATTTTAACAAGGACTACATCCTTAGTACACACACACACACACACACATATATATATATATATATAATGACTAAAAGATCTAAGTTACGACTTCCCATAAAACAAAAAGAAAAAAAGAGATATATCAAAAATGCATCTTGAATTATAAAGATGGTAACTTTTTGCCAAGATTTAGTGATATAAAGATAGAA